GGCACCTGTGGTCCCAGCTACTTGGGAGGCAGAGGCAGGAGACTCACTTGAGCCCAGGAGTCAGAGGTTGCTGTGAGCTGTGATGCCAGGGCACTCTACCCAGGGGGACAGCTTGAGGCTCTGTCTCAAAAATTAAAAAAAAAATTAAAAAAATTAAATAAAAGTATCATTTATGACAGCACTGAAAAATATCAAATACAGATGAATCTAACAAAATGTGTGCTTAAAGTTATAAAGCAATGCTAAAAGACATTAAAGAAGACCCAAATAAATGGAAAGACATCACATTTGTGGATCAGAAGACTAAATGTCATTAAGATGTCACTTCTCTCCAGATAGATTTACAGATTCGATGAGGTGGAGATACCAGCAGTTTTGTTGCATAAATTAACTAGATTCTAATCTACTAGATTCAAAAGCATATGAAAATGCAATGGTTTAGCCAAAATAATTTTGAAAAAAAGACCAGGTTGAAAGAATCACAATATAGTTGATTTACAATCTACTATAAAGTTATGAAAAAGATGGGGATTTTGGCAAAAGGACAAACTCAGAGCAGAATTGAGTCCACAGAGAAACATACAGTCAATGGACTTTCCATGAAGGGTCAAGGTAATTCAAGGGAAAAAGCAGTCTTTTCAACAAATGGTACTGGATCAACTGGATATCCATATGCCAAAAAAAAAGTGAACTGTGACCTTCTCTACCACAATATACAAAAAGTACGCAGAATTATATCCTAACCTTAAATATAAATTCCAGAAGTATAAAACCTCTAGAAGAAAACAGAAAATTTTCTCGAACTTGAGTTAACCACAGATTTGACAGATAGGACACATACGAATTGTAAATCAGACTTCAAAACTTTAAGTTTCTTGCTCTTTACGAGACATAGACATGAAAAACAAGCTGTAAGTTGGGAGAAAATACTAGCAAAATACATCTTATAAAAGATACATATCCAGAATATCTATAATTATATATTTATATATATATTGAAAAAAATCTTAAAACTCAATAAGGCAAGCAACACAATTTTAAGAAGAGAGGCAAAAGATTTGAATGGACATTTCAAAGACAATATATGGATAGCTAAGAACACACGAAATGATGTTCAGTCATTAGGGTAATGCAAATTAAAACGTCAATAAGCTTCAGTACGTATCTACTACAATGGCTTCAGATAAGATGACTGACATTGCCACACGCTGGCAAGGTGTGATGCAATTGGAACTCCATTTACTGCTGACAGAAATTAACCAGGGAGTTTTTAAAAAATAAGCGTACACTTTACATATGTCCCAGCTTCCCTACTCCTAGATATATACCCCAGAGAAATGAAAAAACTATCTACATAAACACTCATGTGGGAATGTTTATGGTGGCTTTTCTCATAATCACCAAAAACTGGAAACACAAAATACCTATTTAAAACAACAAAAACTCATGCACCTACACAATGAGTACTACCCAGAAATGCAAAGAAAGAAACTACTGATATTTCAACATTATACTAAGTGAAAAAAGCCAGACACTAAAGGCGACGGTATTGTATTATTGTATTTACATGTCGTTCTGAAAAATGCAAAACTAGAAGGATAGAAATTGGGTCAGTGATCACCAAAGGTTGAATGTAGGGTGAAAAAAACTGATTGCAATGTTCCCGAGCGACAGCATTTTTTGGCATCATCACAGTTCACTGCAGCTACAAACTCACAGGCTCAAGCTTTTCCTTCTCAAGCAGCTGGGACTACAGGCATATACCACCATGTCCCAGCTAAGCTTTGCATTTCTGTAGAGATGCAAAATGTTGATCATGCTGGTCTCAAACTCATAGTCTCCAACAACCTTTCCACTAGGATTATAGGCCTGAGCCACCTCACCCTGTTACTGCTCTATTCTTGATTGAGGTAATGATCACACAATTGCATACATTTGTCAAATGAAATTCTATTTTTTTAAAAGTTTTACTGTACAGTTCTCCAAAGTAATCCATTTTAGAAAGTTAAAACTTGTTTTTCAATATACATTTAATTTTTTCAAATGCTATATGAGTTAATACTCACATGAACAATTCAGTTATAAAATTTTGTCATTCCCTCATAATTTTAACTCTAGTTTGCTACTTTATATTCATGTTTCTTAAAAAATTATATACAAAATAATTAACACATTGACTTAAAATCTTCTTGTTCTTCCTTCACTGAGTTAACTGCAGACTTAAAATGGTTTAACTTAAAGCAGGATGCAACAGTCCATAGTTACTGCCCAAGATCACGAATACTAAAGTCACAATATCTAAATTCAAACTCCAACTCCATCCTTTACTATTAATAGCTGTGTAGTTTACTACAATTACACCGTCCACGTGCAGTCTCTACTCCTTTACTCTATGAGAAATAACAGTACCTACCCTCATAGGCTATTTCAAGGACCAAGTGAGATAATGTTTAGAATATGCCTCATACATGATGCATACATAGGGCTCGATAAGAATATTTGCTTTTTAAAAAAAAAATCTTTAGTTATATAAACCCCTTTCCAAGTTTCATGGTTCAAAATCTATTATGTATATCCTACTGTGAACCTTGGAATTTTATTAAACATTGTAGAAAGAATAAGACTCGGGCTTCATTTTTTATTAAATTCTCTTTAAAGATGAATAAGAATTAAGGCACACTAAGCCAGAAGGCGAATAAACATTCACCATGCCCCTACAAAGATCCCAGAGAAGTGCTTTAGCCAACTGTATCTTTTCTACTCCCAGCAGGTGGCTATAAAGAGACAGAGTAACTACATCAAAACTTTTAATAAATCTTCCTAAGTGTCCTTTAAAAAGGCATGCTCAGTTCTATTTATTTATTCTATTAAATTCTATTATTCTATTTATCTATTTATCATATAGATATTAACAACTGGAAAAACATATCATGCTCATGGCTGGGAAGAATCATCATTGTTAAAATGTCCATACTACCCAAAGCCATCTACAGATTTAAAAGAATCCCCATGCAAGTGCCAATATCATACTTTATAAAGAACTGGAAAAAAATACTTGGTTTCATACAGAAGCAGAAAAAACCCTGAATAGCCAATGCAATTCTAAGAAATAAAAACAAATCTGTAGGCATCACATCACCAGAGTTCAGGTTATACCACAAGTCTACAGTGATCAAAACAGCATGGTATTGGCACAAAAACAGAGATATAGATCTGTGCAATAGTGAACCTAGATATAAATGTAGCCACACATCACCATCTAATCTTTGGTAAACCAAACAAAAGTATACACTGTGGATAATAAATGGTGCTGGGAAAACCGGCTAGTCACATGTAGAAGACTGAAACTGAACCCACACCTCTCACCACATACAAAAATTGACTCTCACTGGATAAAAGAATTTAAATTTAAGACACAAAAACAATAATAAATCTGGATGAAAGCATGGAAAAAAGATTTAACCTTATCCTGGGAAAAGATTTTATGAAGAAGATCCCCTTGGCAATTGTAGCAACACCAAAAATAAATGAATGGAACATGATCAAACTAAAAAGCTTCTGCACAGCTAAGGGTACAACAACTAAAGCATACAGACAACCTTCAGAATGGAAGAGGATACTGTCATGCTACAAATCTAATGAAGCACTGATAACTAGAATCTATAAAGAACTCAAACTCATCAACAAGAAAAGTGCAAACAATCCCATTTATAAGTGGGCAAGAGATATAAACAGAACCTTCTCTGAAGATGATGACTAACCAACAAATACGTAGAAAACGTTCATCACCCCTAACCATCGGAGAAGTGCAAATCAAAACCACTCTGCGATATCACCTAACCCCAGTGAAAATAGCCCACATCACAAAATGCCAAAGCTGCAGATGCTGGTATGGGTGTGGAGAGAAGGGAACACTCCTCCACTGCTGGTGGGATTGCAAACTAATACAAACTGTGGTATATGTATACCATGGAATACTCTTCAGTCATAAAAAAGATGGAGACTACATCTTTTGTATTTATAACCTGATGAAGTTGAAGAACATTCTTATTTAATGTACAAGAATGAAAAAGTATCCAATGTAATACAAAACCAACAGATAAAGTACACCCCCCACATGAGAGAAAATACACTTAAATTCAAGTAGGGGGAGAGAGGAGGAGGGGGAGAGAGGAGGAGGGGGAGAGAGGAGGAGGGGAAGAGGAGAGGGGAGGGAACAGGGGGACTGATACGCTCTCACCTGATGGCACACGGTAAGGTATACAGCACACTCCCTAGGGGAAGGGCTCAACTACACGGAGAACTTTACCTAACACATGCTAACAATGTAACCTAATCATTTATACTCTTGCATTTACCCGAAATTCAAATAAGATTTTAAAAAAATAAGATACAGGCTTGGTTCCCAAAAGCAAATATCTCGTTAGGAGTAAAACTCATGTTTAGGAAGATTTAAATAATTACAACTGCTCCTTATAACTTAATCAGAGAGCAGCATGTTAAGAATCACAGTGAAGGATAGTCACACCATCAGCCGTGAAACCCCATTACTTTCCTTTGTTATAAAGATTGGCTACTGTCAAAACCCAGCATCAGAAACACAGCAAATAAGGGTAAAGTGCTCAACCTCTTAGAGTTCCCAAAGTTATGGACAACCTAAGAATCGTTTGGCACTTATTCTGTTTAAATGTGTGAGCAAAGAGGAAAAGTTCACCACAAAGAGAGTCATTCTAAGTTTCTCTTACTTCTTACTTTCGCCAAGTTCCCAAGCACACAGTGAGCCGACCACACATGGAGACGACCCGACACCAGCAGTGACCCTACCTGTGATGCTTTAGTCTCCTTCAGGTCCAGCCCAAACACGTTGTGCCGCTTCACCTGAAGGAAGACGGCATCTTCCTCCTCCTCGTCTCTGTCCAGGAACGGTGTGGGAACTTCCCTGACCTTCTGTGCCTCGGTGTTGGGAACAGACAGAGCTTGAGACTCTTCTTCTTGCCCCAGTCTCTCCTCCAGGCCTTCCATCTCTTCCTCTTCTTCATCATGAACACTACTCGCCAGTCTGTGCTCTGTCTCTTCTCCCCTCTTTCCACCGTTCTGAAGGATGGACATTTTCTCACTGAAGTAGGCTCTGAATTCTTCCACTTCATCGTTGGTGAGGGAGGGCGCCCTTGGCTTAGTAAATTTATTGCCTTGGCTCATCACCAGTTCTTTGGTGGATTGTTGCCTTTGTACTTTCTGAAGAAATCTTACCCGTGGTGCCACAGCAAGACCAAGAGACCTTAAATATGGGAAAAACAACAGTTACCTGAATATACTGATAATATGTTTACAGATGATAGGGAATAGTTTTAAGAGCAGAATTTTATTTCTAGAGCATTTTTTAAAGGAAATGTTCCTCTGAGATACAGCTCAATACTAACAGGTTAGATGTCCAAGGAGCAAGCCAACACGCACCAAACACCTGTCAGAAAACATTCTAGACACTGCTTTTCTTTACAAGAAGAACATGATACGTGTATAAGATAAAGACCACTAGACCAGAAATACTTGAACAGTTCAAGTACTAGACTTGCCGATTTCCAATTCAACTCTCTCAACTTAGCTTCCTTATAACATGGGATCATAAATAATAAATAAGCTGCCAGGCTAATTTCACAGGTGTCATAAAGATCCAATTAACTATATGAAAGTACTTCATAACCTGTTAAGTCCTAAACTAGAAAAGACAGGACCATGAAAGGGCAACACACTTCTCCGCAAAGTATGAACTGAAGTATCATCATCCCGCCTCCCCTTCTGAAACAGAATATGGCATAATCGCTGCTATAAAAAAAATGGATTTTTATAAACCAAAGACCAAAAAGAAACAAAAAAACTTGGGTCCTCCATTGAGGATCAAGATACAGTTTAAAATCAGGTCTTTCTCAGCTTGGATCAGAGATAACAGCTGTCCCTATTTACCACTGATGAACTGTAAATAAAATCTTAAAATATTTAAGACAGCTTTAATAAGCAACTATCATTATAGTTTATGAATCCAATACTCTTTCCTACAAGACATGATTCACAGAAACAGATACAGTGTTGCAAAGCATGGATTCAGAAATAGGACTTGTAAGTTTCAAATCCTGGCCCTATCATTTTCTAGCTGTGCAACCTCATGTAATCTCTCTATACTTGCTGGAGTTTTCCCATTTGCAAAATGGGATGAGAGTACCTACCTCCAGGGGTTGTTGTAAGAGTAAATTACTTGACAGATATGATGCCCTTAAAGCAGTGCCTGGCATAGAGGCAACTACTGAGAATTTGCTGTCATTACGACTATCATAGGGGCTGGAGATTAGGAGCACAAACTCACCCAGAGGATTTGTCTTGATGTGTCACATTTATATGACTTTCTCAACTACTAAAATTGAGTTCCTTGAAGGCAGCAGTACATATTACACATCTTCAATGTTAACATCGAGTATAATGGTCTACACATATTATGTGTTCAAAACATGCTTCTCTGGTAAAATTTTTAGAATTTTTATTATACCTTCTATACACAGCACTGCTTCAGGTACCAAAGCCTTCTAAAGAAAATTGCTTACCTCAAGAAAATTACATAGCTACAAAAACTAAAAATACCAATTCAACTGCACTAAAACATAGGCTCAAGTTAATTTTCTGCTTTCTCTAAGCATCACAAAAAGCAAAGTCTTCATGTACTGCAACAATATGTCCCCAACTATGGCCCTACAGTGTTAAAGTCTTGTGTCTTTTCTTATCTGCTAATATTCCGGCTACATCAAATCAGAAAACCAGGAAAAATTCCACACAAAGCAGTAAGTTAATAGGTTAGCTATGGACCATATTCAGATATGGTGAAATTTATACATCAACAAACCAACATGTCACCCAAGGCATGTGGTTTCTCATCTATTACTTAAATGGAAAGCCAGTGGCCCTGTACTGCTGGCTGGCAATTCACAGGGTTCAAAGTGTTAGAACCGAAAAATTACCTGCTATATTAAACATATAATCTAACAATGAACAGAAAACAGCAGCTCACCCAGATATAAGTCTTTGTTAGACTCAATTTAAAGGTAAGGGCACTCAAATTTCTGGAAAGCAGATCAAACATACAGACCTCACCTTACAAACACGTTTCACCACAGACTAGGAATTTCATGCTGATATTCAAAGTATGATTAATCTCAAGGATGCTTCTATAAGATTTTTTCAATGTTGTTCCCACATGCAGGAGCCCATTAAAGAAGAGATACTCCTTTATGGGTCCAAAGGAAAAAGGAAAAAAAAAAATTCCCTCTAATACCAAACCAAACCCTTTAACAGTAACCTCAGTTACTACACAGGTGCATCGTGCCAAGGTGACCGTTCATATCCATAAGAAACACCAAGACAGAGGGACAGTCAGACAATATGCAATATGGGAAACCAGCCTAACATAAGAACCAGCAAACAGATTCACATCCAAAGCATAAAATGTCTGTGGGCACCCAGGACAGCACATAGGAGAGCATGAGACGATCCAGAGACATTTAAAGACTTCAAAGGATGCTTGCTAGCTGCTCTCCATCTCCTTTAAGATCAGACTGTAGGGAATGACCAGTACCACTTGAAGGAATTTGTACTTACAAATGAGGAGCTTCTTCCTGACAATGAAACTGAACACTCTACTAATTATCCACAGAATGGATTTAACCTTTTACTCGCCGGATTGTTAACAGATAGATTCTTTAAAAATAGAGTATTTAAACTAAGACTCTCAGAGAACCACACTAGGAACAAATTCCTTCTAACTTTGAAGATTCACTACTGCAACTATGTTATGAATACTCACAGGGCATATTCGGGGATAGGTAACTTGCTCACATCAAATACTTCTTTATTCTTCATCAGATATATCGAACGTATGTAGGAAACAAAGCACTGCAAAGCAAGAGGTTGAGAAGTATAACATATGCTAGAAATAGAAAACACGTTTAGACCAAAAGAAAATTAACCAAGAGGATAAACAGTAAAACGAATAAACTAGTTCAGTACATCTCCATTTCATCCACATAAAAATCTACTTTCTGGAACTGTTAAAATTAGAAAAGACTTTGCATTTGGTTTCATCAAGCCAACCTAACCTAGAATATTACCTTCCCAAAAAGCTACTGGAAAAGTCACTATCTTTCAGCTACAAGAAGGTAACAGGGAGAAAACACAGGCTTTGAAATACCACAGATTTGGAGTCTACTCTGGGTTCCATAACTTACTAGCTGGCAAATTTCTTCTTTCTCTAAATGTCAGTTTCCTCATCTATCAAAAAAATAGCAAAAGGGCTACTTTCTCCTAAGAATGTCATGACAATAAAATGATAAAAATGCACGTAGAATACCCAGCATATCTCTTGGAATATAGTGAGTACTAATAAATGCTAGTTGTCACTAATATTTACTACTATATTGGTCAAAGGATAAGTTTTTCCACAAAATAAATTTTACTGCATTAACTGAGGTTTAATATAAGTTTAACAGAAAAAAAGTTTATTGCTAAAGCTCTTCCCTTTTTTATAATTTCAAATAATACATTATTAACTTGGAATATTTATCTTGTTTGTTTTAAAAAATACAAAAACAAAACACTATGCTACACAAACCAGAATATAAACCTAATCGTAATCCTTTGTCAATCTAATTTTTGTTTTAATTTTTAAATTGACTTTTGTTAAATACACTGAATTCCTGTCTCATTACTTCCTAAATTCACATCTTCTCTAGCTTTACCTTAATCCTTTCTACCCAACTAATCTCTAAACCATTTTCTGTCTCCATAGGCATGAAAAACAATGAACAGCACCAGTTCAAGGATAATTTTTCCCCTACAATCACCCTCAAGCAATCACCCAGTGGCTTATCGTTTTGTTCTATCCAGATTATAATCAGAAGCTAGAAAATCACATCTACGAACCTAGATAGCTTGCTGATGCAGGCAACACAACCATTCTGCTGAGCCATGCGTGACATCCAATAAATCATGTCATTTATTTCAATGTGCTATTCTGTAATCTTTGTTCTGGAAGGCTCATTTGTTGTAGGCATAAACCAGTGAAACCGTATCCTGCTAACGTTTCATGTTTCCTGATAGGTAACTGAATGACATCCTAGGCATGCAGCTGAAGTCATCATATATCAGAATTCATACAGTATTTTTAAATGCTTTGAAAGCTCCTAGAAGATTTTAACTCCCAAGTTTGAAGTACATTTGCTAGACAAAGCATGCATACAAACATCTGCATGTCCAAAAATTTTAAAAGAAAATTTTTTTTCTAAATTTAAAATGAAAATCTGGCCAGGCACAGTGGCTCACTCCTGTTAATTTTAGCACTTTGGGAAGGCAAGACGGGAAGATTACTGGAGGCCAGGCACTGAAGACCAGACTGGGCACACAGCAAGACACCCTCTCTATCAAATTACAATTCAGTCAGGCTGCTGGTTTGTGCCTGTTGTCCCAGGTACTTGGGTGGTTGAGATGGGAGGTAGGCTGAACTCGGAGTTGAAGGCCACAGTGAGCTACGACTGCAAGAATGCCGTCCAGCACGGACCACAGAGCAAAACCATGCCTCTTAAGAAATAAAAGTTAAACAAAAAGAAAACCACCAATTTATTCAAAGATCCTTTCATTGACTCTCCAGCAAAGTGAGCTTATAGAAGTCCAACTCTGCACAGTTTACCACTGGTTTTCTCATATCTTGTAATTAATTTCTCGTGCTGTAACATAGTAGTTGGAGAAAGTCAGACTTAAGATTGGAGTTTCACATCTGCCACTCCACAGCTATATGACCCTAGGTAATTTCTAATGCTCAAGCTAGCATTTAATCATCTGGAAATAATCAAGTCAGTAAGCCTACCTCACAGGCTGCTGAGAATATTAAACAATAGTGCATGTGACACAATCGTGTCATGACTAAGTGCCTGCTTCATAGTAAACACTCAAGGTTTAAACTTCATCATTCCTGTTATTTTAAGCACAGCAATGATAATTTGCGAAAATATTAAAAAAGGTAGCAAAAAATGTAAGATCTTCCTTTTAAATAAAAATTCTTTGCTGAAAACACCTAGTTTCAAAACCATACCACAGTAGCCTGACTACTGAATGGTTTCCTGCTGAGGCCACTCACTCTATCAACGGAGGCTGACCTTTCCCTGTCCATTTTCTTCCTCCCACATCATCTCTCTACTGAAATAGAACCTAACCTTGGAATCCCTACTCTCTAGACCACTGAAATGCTACAGGATACGTAACTATCTCGTAACTGCAGTATCAGGCAGTATGGGAGTGACAAAAATGAACAGTATCGTAAGAGGAACTCCCAATATCTGTTAACCGACAGACTGGACAGACTGGACAATTATTCTGCATTGTGCGTTCCATCTTCCTTTTCCAAAGATCTATTGGCAGGCACTCTACTGAAAAAATAAGTTTAACTAAAAGTAATTTTTCTCACCACAAATAACTAAAGATGAGCTAACTGAATGCCTGCGTTAGCTTCACGTTGCCATTTCACAATGTATGCACATTTCACAGCATGCTGTACAATTGTAACTTTACTCATGAAAGAAAAGTAAAATTAAAGTGACCTATTTATGTATTTGCTAATCCAGATTTTTTAAGTCCAGAAAAGTAATTTAGGAATGTTAAATCATAAGCACAGATTGAAATCTCATTCCTTAAGGTAATTTAGCAAGACTTCTATGTTTTCTAGAAATTAAACCTAATATATAAAGATATTAATCTCACAATCGAGAAAAGTACCATTAGGAATTAAAGCAACTTTACAGAAGAACTAAAAAGTTGTTAGCTTTGTCAAGTATACCAGAAATTAGGCCACTGGACATCTAAAAACTATCACCGGTAAGAGAATTTTCCATATTATCTCTGACAAAAATAGATTTTTTCCAGATTATTATAAGAAACAGTTTTGGAATTTTAAGGAATAAGCTAGACTTATCTGAAAATGATGCTGCCTGAATCTCTGAAGCATGACCATGCAACCCAGAAGTAGCAAGTGAAATTCATTAAATGTTTCATTCCAATGAAGGCATCCAATTCAAAAATGACTTACCCTTTGAGCTCTTTCTTTTAAATGTTGATCTTGGGCTAAAATGGATTCCATTTTTTTCTGAACATCTACAAGTTTCTCTGGATTGATTCTTTATAAAAAGATAAACGTTAAAATAAGACATCTCAATTTTACAGACTAAAAATAGTAAGCAGCATTTTTCTATTTTCCTCAGTATTTTAAATGTATAAAATTATTTGTAGTCTATGAGCCAGATTAAGACAAAATTAAACTAGATGTAAGTCTAAGTCTTGCATATTTTGATTATAGGAGAAAAGAAATAGCATGTCAGACAGTTTCTCTAAATATCCCATGCTGAGTGAGTCAAAGACACTTAGATTAACACCACAATTAGCATCGGTTACTTCTTAATAAGGATAGAAAGAAGACGTCCATGGAAGATAGTCAATGAAATAAATGCAATGAAATGTCATTATTGTAAGTATTTGTTTCAGGCAAATATAAAATCAATTTCAAATAATAAGTAGCCAAGGACGATAAACAGTGATTCCCCTATTTAGAAATGAGGCAGATTATAACAATGATGTAACTTAACTCTATCCAGGCAGGCTACAGGAAAGGAAAATATTAAAGGGGCTAGATTTCACAAGAGACCTCACTTGCTTTCCTGATTTTAGACTGAACTACTCTGTTTCTGGCAAAGCATGGTTGGTGAGGGTTGGTTAGTGGTGGATGAGATGGTTTTTACTTTTATTATAGAAAGTTTTAAAATACACAAAGTACCCCCAAAAATGTATTCACATTTCAAGAAAGGAAAAATCTTTTTTATAATTGTTGTAGTTGTAAATATAATTGTTATACTCAACATATACTGATAACAAAAGTAAATCCAAGTTGCGTTTGACTTTTGCAATTACCAGAGGTGCTCAAAGGGTTACCATCACTTTGTGTTGTCACAATGGTTGTCCAGAAACTTTTGATTACAGCAAACAAAAAGTAGCACATAGGTAACATCTTTTAAAATGTGTATACATGTTTTTGGCATCACCACCCCCCAATATACGAAGGTATAAAAACTTTCACTCAAGCTCAACAATTATAAACTCATGGCCAATTGCTTCTTGTACGTCCTCGACTACTCCTCCGCCATCTAACTACCAAATACTTTTTAAGCCTATCAAGTCAGAATGTTTCAACAACCCCAATCCAAGTGAAACTGATGGATTTCATGATGCTCAACCTACACATTCTCAGTGACAGCAGAACACAAACCTCTGAAATGGACAGATAATAAATACTAAAGATAACTTCATCCAAAAGGCTTAGTTCTTCTAACCATCAATACTTCCTGAAATTAAGGGTTTCTCTCCAACCCTTATTTTCCCCATTAATGGTCTTCTGATAAAGTTGTGTAACAAAAAATTTGGGATTGGGCACAGTGGCTCACACTTGTAATCCCAACACTTTGAGAAGCTAGCGCAAGAGAACTGCTTGAGGCCAGAAGTTGGAGACCAGCTTAGGCAACAAAGCAAGACCGTGTCACAACAGAAAAAAAAATTTTTTAAATGAGCCAGGCACCATCACACCTGTAGTCCTAGCTAGTTGGGAGGCTCAATTAGGCCCAGTAGTCCAAGACTGCAATGAGCTATGATCCTGCCACTGTACTAAAGCCATGGCAACAGAGTAAGACCCTATCTCTAAAAAAAATAAAAGTTTTTTTAATTTTATCATAAGCAGGTAGATCATGTATCCATTAATGCATTTATGGGGTACAATGTGCTGATTTCACATACAATTTGGAATGCTTACATAGTACTGATTACTGTATCCCTTACCTCATTTACTTATTGTGTTAAGACATGTATACTCTATACTTAAAAGATCCAACATGTAACCTTGCAATGTGCACCATAGGTATGATGCCACCATTCACTTTCCCTCCTTCTGACCACAGGTTTTGATAGTTCTCATTTTTCATTTCAAAAAGTTTTTAATTTCCATTTCTATTTCTTCTCTGACCCTGTGATCATTCAGGACCACGCTGTTTATGTGTCTGAGTAATTTCTGAAGTTCTTCATACCAATTTCTGGCTTTATTCCACTGTGGTTGGGAGAAGATACTTGATATTACAATTTTTAAATTTAAGATTTGATTTGTGGCCTATAATGTTACCTTAGTCTTGTACAACATTCCACGTGGTGAGAAGAATGTATTTCCTGCACTTGGCGGGTAACAGGCCCTATAAATGTCTACTAAATGGACTTTGGACCAAATGGACTTAAATCCAATGTTTTTTGCTGATGTGAGCAGATGCTGAAATCTCCCTCTATTAGTGCACCGCCGTCTCTTTAGGTCAAGTCATGTTTTGTGAATCTGGGTGCTCCAATGTTGGGTGCATATGTGTCTAAGATTATATCCTCTTGCTGGATTGAATCCTTTATCAACATGACCTTCCTTGCCCTTTTTTCCTGTTTGCAATTTAAAATAGCTTTTACCTGATGTATGTATAGCAGCTCCTGCTCAGATCTGGTTTCTGTTTGCATGGAACATCTTTTTCCAACCATTTATGGCTAAATGTCTTGTAAGTTGCACAAACTTAGATCAAGTTCACAGATCCATTCATCCAATCTATACCTCTTAAGTGGAGCATGTAATCTACTTACTCACAAATTTACTATTAATACCTAAGGCTTTGTTTGTGTCTTATTGTTAGTTTATTTCTAGTTACATAGTTTTTGTCTTTGTGGTTTGCTCAATTTCTGTCATGTTGCCCTTTAATTCTATTCTCTTCCTTTGTGTATTTTATGAAACCTGTAAGTTTTCATGATGGTGAATACTGACCTTTTGTTTCCACATTTAAGACTCCTCTGAGAACTTCCTATAGGGCCAGTCCAGAGATGATAGATTCTCTAGGTGTTTACTTGTCTGGGAAAGATTCTCTCTCCATTTATAAAACTTATTCTAACAGGATATAAAATTCGTGGCTAGCAGTTTTTCAATGCTTTGATAATGCCATCCCATTCTAAGGTTTCTGCTAAAAGGTCCACTGTTAGTCTTATAAGGGTTTGTTTTGTATATAATAGATGACTAGACGCTTTCTCATTTTAAAATTCGTTCACCTCAGCTTTAGTCATTCTGATTATAATGAACCCAGGGATCACCGGACCGCCTCTATCTGAATGTTTAACTCTCATTAGTCCTGGAAAATGTTCACCCTTTACATAAATAGGTTTTCTATATTTTTTGATCTCTCTTCTCCCTAGGGAATATCAATAATTTGTAAGTCTGGGCACTCTATGTAGTCCTAGATGTCTCAAAGGCTTTGTTCACCCTTTCCAATTCCTCTATAAACTGTCTGATTATCTCAAAAGATCTGTCTTCAAGTTCTAAGTGGTGTTTTTTTTTTTTTCCCTAAGACAGGGTCTCACACTGTTGTCTGCGCTAGAGTGCAGGGGTATAATCATAGCTCACTACAACGTCAAACTCCTGGGTAATCATCCCACCTCAGACTACAATTGCATGCATGATACCACACAATGGAAAATGGCTGATTTTTTTCATGTTCTGTAGAGATAGGGTCTTACTATGTTGCTCAGACTGATCTCAAACTCCTGTCCTTGAGCAATCCTCTCATTTTAGCCTCCAAAAGTGCTAAAATTACAGGCATAAGCCATCAAAGCCAGCCTGAGATTCTTTCTTCTGCTTGATCTACTCTATTCTTGAAGGTTTCAAACATGTTTTGTGTCTCCTTCCCTGAACTTTTTAGCTCTAGAATTTGGGTTGGGAAATTTATCTCAATAAAATTTTTCGGCTCGGCACCTATAGCTCAACCGGCTAAGGCACCAGCCACGTACACCTAAGGTGGCGGGTTCAAATCCCCAGCCCGGACCCGCCAAACAACAATGATGGCTGCAACCAAAAAATAGCCGGGCGTTGTGGCAGGCGCCTGTGGTCCCAGCTACTTGGGAGGTGGAGGCAGGAGACTCGCTTGAGCCCAGGAGTTGGAGGTTGCTGTGAGCTGTAATGCCACGGCACTCTACCCAGGGGGATAGCTTGAGGCTCTGTCTCAAAAAAAATAAATAAATAAATAAATAAATAAATAAAATTTTTCATACTATACAATGATTTTGTAATTTCCTTGCATTGATCTTCAGATTTCTCTTCCACCTCATTATTTAGTAATCAGTATTTAGTAACTGTCATCTAAGTTTACAGTGAATTCCTTCTAACTATGATCTACTGCTGGACAATTACTGTGGTCCTTTGAGGTATCATATCTTCTATTTTGTTTCCTGTATCCTTCCATTGATACACATCTGATGTAGCAGTCACGTGTGTGTGTGTGTATATATATATGTGTGTGTGTGTATATATATATCCTGAAGATATATCTGTGTGTATATATATGCTGGAGAGCCTGGTTTCCCTGCCCCTTCCCAGCCAGGAGGTGTCAGCAGCTCCATCAGCCCAAATTCAGCATAAGGGCAGTGCACAATCCAGTGTTATATATGTTATTTATGTTGTGGGGATTGCTTTTGATTGAATGAGACCCTTTGATTTTGTGTGCCTGCTATAGTGTGGACTTTGTATAATTTCTTGGCCGGTATATAGAGTCATTGATATCTGATTTCCTTAGAGGCTTAGGGTAGTTATTACTAAAGCTATGATGAAGTTCGGAGGAGGTGGGTTTTTGTGCTATGGCAAAGTCTTGCTGGGAACTTGAATTCTAGCCTAGATAGTCTTTAGGCCCCCTAGTGGTAGTAATACTGGGCTGAGTATACCTGATTTTAAGCCCCAGAGCAGCTTAAGCATGGGGGCGAGGGGGAAGTAGTAATTCTTGGGACTCAGGTGGCTTGCGCAGTTGGAGCAGAGGACCAGGTGTGAAGGTGAGTTCCTAGGCCCCTAAGCAGCTGATGTGATGTGGGAAGTAGCAACAGCACAGGTAGAACCACCCACTAGGGCCCAAGTAATCTATGTTGGTGTTACTGATAGCTACAATGGATTGCAAAGGCAAGTCCCCAATCCCACAACTATCTGCAACAGGGCAGTGGGTACTCTCCTAACTGTGCTTAGGAAAGGCTGGTCTCCCCCATCTCCTCCCAGGTCATGGCAAGTGAAGCCATATGGCCATGAATTTGGCCCAAGGGTGAGGCACAATGCAGCTTCAAACTCCCAAACTGGCACCTTGGGCCTGAACCAGAGAGGACAGGGCCCCTTCCAGGCAAACCATATGAGGAAGATGCTGGAAGGAGTGCCATCCATTCACAACTCAGCCTCCTAGCAACCCAAAGCAGAGTGGTGGGAATTGTCCTAGGAGTACATATGAGAGCTTGGGCTTCCTTGTCCATTCTTAGCTGGGCAGAACTGCAGCTACATCAACCCAAAGGTGGAATGCTGTTCAGCTTCAAACTCCAAAAATGCTAAATTGGACCAGAAAGGGTAGGGCCCTTCTTGGACAGTCTTCACCGGCAGGAAACTGTGGAGAATGCAGTTCACTCAAGACCTGGTCCCATGGCAACGTCTACAGGATAATAGGTACCACTCCAGATGTGTGCTGGAAAGTCTGGTTTCCCCACCCTTCCCAGCCAGGTAGGTGTTTGCAGCTCCATCCCCAAAACTCAGTCTGAGGGCAGTGCTCAACCCAGTGTCAAACTCTCAAAATGGCACACAAGACCTGCAACCAGAAAAGCTGGGGCCCCATCCAGGCACACAGCATTGGTAAGACACAAAAAAATGTCATCCACTTACATCTCAGTCTCAACCACAGACGTCGACATCAGAACACATCAGGGTAGAGGGAACCTTACCAGGGTGCATGGGAACACCCAGGCACCTCCATCCAATGTCAGGAGCCATACAGTGGCTGCAGACATCCCCAAGTTTCCCTGGTACCTAGGATCTCAGAACGGCACCCATATAACCCAGGTGTGCAGGAGGCTATGCCACCAGATACTACCGCATACTTAGGAGAGCAGCCAAAACCCACAACAGTGACAATACCAAATGCTGCCAGGGTGTGGAGCAACAGAAACTCAGCCATTGCTGCAGGAATGCAAAATGGTCCAGCCATTTGGGAAGGCAGTTTGGTGGTTTCTTGCAGTTCCTTCCAAAAACCAAATATAGGCTCAATGCCTGTCACTCAGCAGTCAGGGCACCGGCCACATACACTAGGGCTGGTGGGTTGGAATCCGGCCTGGGTCTGCTAAACAATGACAACTGCAACTGAAAAATAGCCAGGCATTGTGGTGGGCACCGTTAGTCCCAGCTATTTAGGAGGCTGAGGCAAGAGAATCACTTAAGCCCAAGAGATGGAGGTTGCTGTGAGCTGTGACACCACAGCTGACAAGGTGAGACTCTGTCTCAAAAAAACAAAAAAAAAACAAAAAAAAAAAACAAATATACTCTCACCATCTGGGTTCAGCAATAACGCTCCTTAGTAGCATTTACCCAAAGAAGTTGAAAACTTACGTCTGCAAAAAAGCTGTGACAGGAATGTTTATGGCAGCTTTATTCATAACTGCCAAAACTTGGACACAACCAAGATGTCCTTCGTTAGGTAAACAGATAAACTGTTACATCTCAACCATGGAACAGTATTCAGTACTAAAAAGAAATGTGGTGTCAAGTGATGAAAAGACAGAGGAGCTTTAAATCAATACTGCCAAGTGAAAGAAGGCAACGTGGACAGCTATACACCACACAACTCCAACTACAGGGCATTCTGGAAAGAAAGCTATGGAGACAGTTAAAAGATGAGTACTTGCCCCCACAGGGGCTGGAGAGAGGGATGAATAAGAATTTTAGGGCAGTGAAAACACCAGATAAAATTGTAAGGGCAGTTAACTCACTATACATTTGCCCAAACCAAACATATAAAACCAAGCACCAAGAGTGAACCCTATATATAAAGTATCAGCTTTTGTGCAGACATAAGTTTTCAACTCCTTTGGGTAAATGCTACCAAGGAGCATTATTGCTGAACATATTGTTTAGGTGACATGGTGTCTCAGTGTGGATTCATCTGTTGTGAAAACTGTGCCACTCTGGCAGGGGACGTGGTCATCAGGAGAACAGACAGGTATATAAGAACTCTTTACTGTCCTCTCGATTTTGCTGTGAACCTAACACTACTCTAAAAGTCATCATCTTTTTGTTAAAAAGTCACAAACCAGACAGTTGACTCGTCAGGGAGAGGAAATTAGGTGCCATAACTAAGCACAGGGGCTCCATGCCTTCACTTTGCTGATGATAAAGGTAACGGGCGGCCGGGCTCTTACTTGATTTCCTTCACAGGCACCTTCTTCTGGAGAAGCTGCTGCAGCATAGCCTTTTCTTCCGAGGGAAGCAAAATTAATAAAGCTTCACCATCCTCTTTATATCTGAAAAAGAAACAACATCAATGCAATTTGCATGTTACATTTTACAGTAAGACTAGTAACACGGAAACAAGTTCACCTAACCAGTAAATATTAGAAATGCCAGTTTTTAATCTGGCAACAGAAAATGTAAGCGCCTAATATTTTCATCACTAGTTATGATACTGAATGACTTCTAGGCTATGCCACAGTAGAAGATCTAGATTCTAAGAAATCAATTAAAGGGAATGTTTTAAATAGCTCTCTAGCCATCTAACAAGGAGATAATTTCTCACTCAAGCCACTAATAAAGTTAGTCATTTGATAAACATGGCACCCAATGTATTTTTTTTTAAAAAATCAATTCATCTTCCTGGGGATTTTATTTATACTTCAGGAATAAAATTTTTCAGAGGCATCCACTATAAGAAATGGGTCTCTGCTCAGATAAAACACTTGCTCCCATCCATGTTAATTCACTTCCCTCACCTAGTGAAATTTTATTTCATGCTACGCCTTCAGAAATCTGTACTGACACAGCCACAGGCATCCAGTAGTTACTTAGGCTTCTTGCTTACAGATTTTCTTGATACCTTAGTGTCAGGTGTTACATGAAGCAGTAAAACAGGGAAGGAAACTGGACACTTGGGGAAATATTAAAAAAAATTCTCAAAGCACTCTCTTCAGGATTTGTGCTATAAAAGATGACCCAATTTTTTTTACTTAAATAAACTATTTACTGAGAAACTTTGTGGCAGACACAAACTGAAGAATACAAAGAAACAGAAGGTGAAAATCCTGCCTTCAGTCATCTGTGCTCATGTACTAGAAAAGACAAAGGCAAGCAGGAGGGTGGAGGGACCAGTCACAGAATGGCACGTGGGTGTCAAAACCAACCGCAGGCAATAAGCACCACCAACTCAGAAGTGAAAAGAGGGCTGCCTCGAGGCTAACTGAAGGTTAAACAGAAATATGTCACGGCCAATGGAAGTCCAGGTGAGCCTTGAGGATGGATAGAAAGGGAAAGGCTAAGGTGTTCTGGACGAGTAGGGCATGAATAAAGGAGGGAAAGCCAGGAAAATCTGTTACAGTGAATCAAAAAAAAGGGAAAGGAGAAAACTCCACTGATGTAATCAGACTTCAGGGAAGACTGGGAGGAAAGCACAGTACAATCTGGTTTTAGAGGCCCTGAAACGCGTTTGTTGGAGAGAATAAATGGCACGTCAGTAGAACTTTATCAGATGCAAAAGGGAAAACTGGCTTTGACTCCTGAAAGATGGCACTGCCCTGAGGAACCCACACCTAAACTGAGTAATTAGGCACCAGTCTAACATTAGAGGAGGAAGGACGGAGACAGGGAAGTCAAGTTCTCCACGGAGGAAAGCAGCATGAGAGCCCGGGGGATGTTTCTGTCTTCTTCATCCTGACTTGCTTTTTCTAGTCAACAGGAGGGAAAGAATAGAGCTGCAACGACAACTGACTCCTGTACCCGAAGGACTAGGACCAAACACCTTCCTCGTCTGACCCAGAATAACTTGACCCACAACTTTGTCATCTTCATCTACTACAAGCAAGGCTAACTTTGAAGCAGCTCCCCTAGGCAGCAGTGGACTGCACCACCCAAGGCAGGTGCACACATAGTGGGCTAACACTGAGCAGACAAGTATCTGAGAGGCTTCACGAAGCACGGGCTGAGGGTCAAGGAAGACGGAATCGGTCAATACTGACCACTAAGCAGGACACAGCTCCCTCGGGGCAGCCAGGCTCTTGAGAGGAAGTAAATTACCTTCAGAAGTAAAAAAAAGGCCTATGATTCTGTGTGGAACAGCTGAGGAGAACAGTGGGTTGAGGGATAGTCAACCCTTTCCACATTCTATATCCAAATGCAGAGCAAGATAAAATAAACAGGCCTACAAGTCTATGAAGGGCAAGAACTAGGGCAAGGGGATAAGAGAATCTCAGGGAGACCACGAAGGTATCCACTGAATGTTCTCTGATCTTCTAACCTACTCGTGAGAAAGAATAAGGACAGTCCCATCAATCTATCTCATCTATCCGTTCCCAAGGAGAACCTGGGAGGTTAAGTTAGGATTAAAGTCACAAAGGAGGCGTGACCAAACCTTTAATCTTAAAACTATAGAAACTAACAGAAAATATATAGAAAGATATGCAAAGTTTAGAAAATTGTAAGAGTGGAATAAGAAAAAGATTCCCAAAGGAAAATGGAAAACCAAAATCAAATCCTACAAGGCAAGCAGCTACTAAAAAGGACCATGGGCCTTTTCAACCTGTTTGATATATACAAGTTTTCCCTAAACACAGAAAGCACAAACTGTCTCCCATCAACTAATACCCAAAACTTTGCAGTAAGCTTTTATTAAAGGCACTTTTTAAAAGAAAGTATAAACATGTTTTACTTTTTTTTAAAGAATAAATATTTACCTATGAGCTAGCTTTTAGTCTTTAAAACCAATATAGAAGAAATATATAAGAAATAAATGTTCTTTAAAACATCTATTTTAAAACTATAGACAGATTTGTTTTCAAAATTTACTTTAAATTGAAAGATTAAATTGTACTATTTATCATATACAAATGCTGTTCTGAAATATATCTATATCATGGAATGGTTAAATTTAGCTAATTAAAATAGGTATTACCTCATGTAGTTATTTTCATGGTAAGAACATTTAACAACCACTGTCAGCAATTTTTAGGAATGTAATACATTAACTACGGTCACCAGGACAGGTTTCAAGAAATGTTCTAGGTTCCACAGAAAAAGCCCTCCATCTGAAACAAAATGTCATTTTCCCTGCAAGAACTAATTCTGTACTGCATTTATGCAGCCAAGTTTATCAAGAGTTTTATTTACATTAATTTGCCAATCTTACAAGCAAGCAAACCAGTAGAGGTGGCAAATACAAAATAAGATTTCCGAGAGGCCCAGAAGTCATCCTATAATCAGCTGGTCACTACATTGTCAGACTTTAAACTTCCTGTCCACTGCTTTTTCAGTTATACCCAGATTCCCTCCAAAAACAAATATCCTCAAAAGACTGGTCATGACCTTCTATCCTGCATCAGGAAGCTCAGCTCCATGTCCTACAGCTCACTAGTATTTCTGGTCTTAAAGTACATGGTAATTCTTCCATTGAAATAACCCTTAAACTAAGGCCAAAGGGAGACTGGGGAGCTTCCACTCTGGCAATAATTTGTCATTTTATTTTTGTAATTAAGAAGAATATACAGACATACATAAAAGAAAATTTTCTGGGTTGTAGATTTTTGTTGTTTTGCTATTATTGTCTAGAATCTGTATAGTGACTAAGCATTGTTATAATAAAATACAAGTTAATAAAAATAAGTTAAAAATAAACTTCTATATGTTTTTAAATAAGACTTTCATCTTCTGTATCACTCTTACCTCATCTAACACACATAACTAGTACTACCAAATGTTAGTATACCTCCCTATTTTGACAATTTTTTTTAAGAGACAGTCTCACTTTATCACCCTCAGTAGAGTGCCATCGCGTCACAGCTCACAGCAACCTCCAGCTCTTGGGCTTAGTCAATTCTCCTGCCTCAGTCTCCCGAATAGCTGGAACTAGTGGTGCCACCACAACGCCCAGCTATTTTTTGTTGCAGTTTGGCCACCCTTGGTATATGGGGCCAGCGCTCTATTCACTGAGCCACAGCCACCGCCCCTTGACAATTAAATTTGAGGACAGATACACGCACCATGTGTCCCTAACATTTGTGCAATAAACACTTGGGTCAGTGACCACAAATGACTACTAGAAGTTCATCAGCAGATAAAACATCGTATTGCTGGAGTCCAAAGAACTGGCTTTTAGTCCCACTGTATAACTTTGTCTAAGACACTCTTTATAGAGCATTCACTTATTTATACGTTATACATTATATAACTGAAAAATGGTCTAGGTCCCTTTAGGATTCAAAATTCTACAACTCTACTGATATATCAGGTATTGTTCACAATAGAAGTATTATCAAGAGGTGGAGAAGGAAAGTCCTGTTGGTTACACCCTGCCACAGCATAGTCTTTTTTCTATTCTCTCTATATTTCAGCCTTATCCCAAAATTTCGTGTCACCGTGGGAGAATGGTGAAGTCTGTCATAAAGATGCAGAAAGACAGCCGTAAGGAATCTGAGCCCAACTGTTCCATTCTTCCTGCACAACATGGAACAAAAGACAGCTTATTTCAAGAAAAAAAGCATCTGACTTATAAAACCTGTAAATACTACAATGAATTTGAAAAAAGAAAAAGGACAGATTTAGAAATATTCTGGGAAAAAGAAAGTCATCTCAAGTAACAAACAGGTATACCATGACAGGCTTAACTGTGACAGATGAAGTTCACCCTAAAATAATCAGACAGAAACCAAGCTGGCTAATACATATTACATAGAAGGCTTCCAGCAAACTGATTAAGGAAAAAGGATTTATGGAGTTCACAGAAAGAAGGGGTAGAAATCATTAAACTTATCAACTCTGCCTCCAAAAAACAATGTTCTTAAGTCTATATTTTAATATATAAGAAAACAAAACTCAAGTAAGAACAATAATGACACTAAAATTATATCATACTTTCAGGAAACAGAGTTATACAATCCCATTTTACTGCAGAAGAAACAGGCTTATAGAAATTAAAAACTGGTTCAAGGATATACAGCCATTAGGCGACAAAGTCAAACTCAGAAACCTAAGTTTAGACTTTTAAAGACAGTGACTGAACAATTATGTGTCACTGTCCAAAGGGCAAAAACATATCAACAGTAGAAAGCAGAATCTCTCAGCTGACCACCAAGGACCTTTCACAAACTGGTCAACATACAGAGGTAGTCCACATAAGGAACAAGGCCTATTTCACTGATATGAACAAGAGGTGCATGTCTGGTCTATAAAAATTAAGTCGACTTAAGGAAGTGGCCTTTAAATGCAGGGAAGTGGCCAACTATGGAGCCTCTACTGTAGTTTATATTCAGAAACATAAACG